AATTTGAGTAGAGAATATATATATATAACAATGGATTATTTTATAAAAAGTTATTTTTCTACCCATTTGCATAAATTTTAATAATAAAAATATCTTTAGGGAATGTAGATGTTTCCAAATATGGTGGATATACATGTTTTCAAGGTCTGGAGAATATACATGTTTCCGATGAATGGCGAAAAATGCAAAAAGATAAATTAAAAATTAGAGACTCATACTTTTGACCACTCTTTTGAGCCAGCTTGAGTTCTGACTTCAGTTCTAATTATCAAATGCTCATTAAATAAGTATCTATTCTAATTCTAAGTTCTCAATGTTGACTTCGAATCTGCTCACTAGTTATGCTATCACTTAGCAATATTTAGAAATGCAAAAATAATATCGGTATTTAAACAGACGTGCAAGTATCGATTAATTCAATTTTAATTATGCAATTTTTGCCTGCAATGCGACGAAGAGATATATTATAATATCTTGTAATAATTCTTAAAGGTAATAAGATACCATATAATGTCTTAGACTTTACTCTAGATATGACAGTCATGAAATGTATCATTAAAGCATAATATTCCTCGATATAATCATAAGTATATTTGAATAAGTAACTTGAAAATAAATAACAATATTTGTCCCGCCTTTGGAGAGATCTGCATCCAGCAACTTGTTTAATCTGATACGTAAACTAGCAGACATAAACAGTACATCAAAAATTAATAATCACTCTGCAAGTTTGTTCTATAATTAACGATATTCTGCTCAATAAATGATTACGGTATGCAATTCTCTGCCATGATTCATAAGACATTCTGTGCAAACATTATTTAATAACAAGAAACCTAAGATACAAAGTATTAGCCTTATGATATTCTTAAACTCCAAAGGGTAATGCAGTTACTCAGAATTAGAACTAAGAAGAGATTCTGGTATAGTTATTTAAGAATACAAAGCTATTTCATTATTTATGTACCATAATCTGGGGTTTTTACAAAGAGAGAGAATATTAATACGATTTGAGGTAATTTTTATTTTAATGAAGTGCCATTGTTTAATTTTTGTTTTACTCTCTTTCTTCTTTTACACATGAACATGTAATAAGCATTGATATTATTCATTAATTAAAACAAAAATACATTGTACATCAGAGTACGGAATACATACGGTAGAATACATCTTCCTTCAATAAATGTATGAATTCACATAATTTTCTAATTATTCAGTAAACATGTTTCAATAGACAAGTTTTATTTAGATTTATGTATTTTTATCAACAAAAAAATAGAGTAAATTAGTTTTCAGATATTTTAATTATCAAATTTCAATATAATGGTTATATAACAGTGCTAACGTAAATTTTACTGCGCAAATCAGGAATTGGTGATTTGAATTGTAAGGTAAGTTTTTTGACTAAGTTTAAGTTATAATGACTAAAATTAATAAAAATTATCAACGTTATAAGTAGATATCAATTAAAATACATTTAAATACTGGAATTTCTGTTTAATGTTTGTGTACATGCGTTAAACGTTTAATGGTGTAAATCTTTTTCAACATCTAAAATTAGTCAAAATTCCACCGCGTAATTAGAGGGTATCAATTAAATTGCATTCTAATATTAGAATTTGTGTTTAGTGTTTGTGTACATGCGTTAAATATTTTATAGTATAAATGTATTTTTAAAACGAAAATTGTCAAAATTTAAAAGCTTTATAGGTGGGTATCAATTAAATTACATTCTAATATTAGAATTTATATTCTGTGTTCGTGTATATGTGTTAAAATTTGTATGGTGCTGTCTTTTAATAACTAAAATTGGTAAAACTTATGGACGTTATCATTAGTTATCAAATAGGTGTTCAGATCTGTAACTCGGATTCCATAAGACTGCTTCAAACGTTTTATAACAGTGAGAGCTATTTTATATTTTCCGTTACTGAGACGTCTTTTCCTATCTTTTCAACACTGTTTTGAAACTGGAGAAACTCTTTTATAAATAGAAACCTATTCTTATATGGATATTCAGATTCTTCAAATATTTCCTTACGATTATACTCTTTAAAAAACTAAGTTTTGAAATTTTGTTTTAAGGAATAATAAACTATTGATGTAATTAAATAAACGAATAGATTCAAAGAAATGTTTTGTTACACTGTACAAAATTTTCGCGTATCTAAACACCAAAAATGGTAATAACTACTTTACGCCAAAGTAGTGTTTTACTAAGTGTTCCACTACACAAAAACCCAAGATAGTTCCTGATGTAGTAAAGCACCTCCTAGTATATTCTTTTGTTATTCAATAACACTAAAATTTACTATCACGGTAAGATATGATAAAAATAAGAATCAGTAAAATTACTTTTACGATACAATATAATGCAAGAATCATAGATTTAGGGTGCATATATAAAATATTTCCTAAAATTAAATTAGTTTGTTTATCAAACCTACACAAAGTAGAGAGAGAATATTAATATGAATTCAAATAAAACCAAAGTAAATAGAAGTTAAGTGTCATAAAATTATTTTATATTTTATACAGTTAACAGATGTTGGTAAATCTTATGAGAGAAATATATTTATTATATAACAAAAAGATAAGTGTATTTTATAACAGTTTATATGAGTTGTTTATTAAATCAATCCGACAAGAAGATTGAAATTACTTAGCGAATAATCGACCCCAATCACTACTCTGAATCAATCAGTACAGAGGATTAAAACTTGCTTGGTATTAAAAAGGCTCTGTTCAGTTTCTCAATTTAATCCGACAAGGAGAACTCACATATAATCAGTATAACAGTATGTAAACAAACCGCCATCTTAACCGTCATATTGTCATTATCTTGAAATTGCCCAAATATATTTGCCTTTAAATTTCTAATAATGGTCCAAAAGTATTTGTTACCTGCCATCACACAGGAACTTAGTAGAGTCGATAGAGGGCTTCAATCTACTTCAGAAATGCATCTGTTATGATTTTACTTTCTGAAAAAATAGTTTCATGAAATAGCTCACCTATGCTCAACCCCTACCTGGAAGCTAAAGAGGGTTACTCTTATTCTGGTGTCTTCCTCCTGACCATTCCAGCAAGAAAGGCCCTAGCAGAAGTTACGCTATCACCTATGCGAACCCTATGCTCAACCCCAACCTGGAAGACCAGAGGGTTACTCGTAGTCTGGTGTCTTCCCCTTGACAATTCCAGCAAAAAAGGCCCTACCAGAAGTTACGCTATCACCTATGCGAACCTTATGCTCAACCCCAACCTGGAAGGCCAGAGGGTTACTCTTACTATGGTGTCTCCCCCCTGACCATTCCAGCAAGAAAGGCCCTACCAGAAGTTACGCTATCACCGACATAGCTCAGTGAGTCTTTGACACAAGCCAGTCCCTCACCACAACAAGGTGGTAATTCCAAAACCACGAATCAATAGTAATTGGTAACGTATATATAATTATACAAATCTGTTTAAACTATCACTTAAGACAACCTAACTAAATGAATTTAATGCTACTCAAATTACCATTTAAGACAACTTAGCAAAATGAATTATTGCAGATAATTATAGTGTTGCCAATTTGAGTAGAGAAATATCTGTCACAGTAGAAAAATAAATCATGAATAAACAACATCATGAATAAAATATATCATGAATAAACAACATTTTTATTAGAACCAATTTTTTGTGTGTTCACAATTTTAATTGCATTTAGCTACAGTCAGTAGTATTTATTTTTCTGTGAGACGTGACAAAAACTTTTCTTTTTCTCTTACTTTCAAACGCAAGTTTTGCGTCTGGTTAAAATAGTTTATCTTCCTATATATTTCCATCTATAGTTTATCTTCCGAGATGCTATTTTTATTAGCTTTACATCAAAAGAGGTGTAAATGAAATTCCTTCAAACTTTACAAAGAGTGAGGTTTATTTGAATTTCAATAGAAATACAATGAAGAGCTTTTGAACGTATGTTTAAGAATGCCTAAAGCATTTGTAAAAAAGTATTTTGGGGGTGTTTGAATTTGATTTATTTCACAGATATTTTGAATATCTTCTTTAGAAAGACCACTTGAAACTATTTGCTTTATGTTTATATGAACAATGTTGAACCTAATTTTTATTCGAGAAAAATAAGTAGATTCAACAAATTAAACAAAGCTGATGTCTGTAGAAGTAAGAAATTTTTGATATATTTACCATGTTTATTTTTAAATTTACTGCGTACAGTGCACAAAAAAATTAAACAAAACACCCTGAACAACTTTTGATCTAATGGGGTTTTCACGTACTAGGACTCAAACTTTAATGGTTCCATGGTGACCTCGAGTATGTTGATTAATGCTATTTTTATTAGCAGAATGATATTTTTAGATACGAAACCAGACACAAAAATGTACTATTTTCGGAATAAACATGCCTTTTTTCGACGAATCATGATTTCTGAGTCCCAAAATATGGGGGTAGCCACAATTTGGGAAATATGGTCCCAATAGTTTGATCAGGAGAATAGTGAAAATTTGGATCCCTTAATGTTAATTTCATTTTTTGCGTATTACGTAGAACTTTTTAAGGTTTATAATTTTTAAGAACTTTAGACTTTTTCCTCACAAATATAAAATTCTTTTATAAAGGTAATTCCATGCCATCTATCCAATTCCAAGCATCCAAAAATAATTCTATTATCAGTAATTATTTATTACTTTTTATTTTTTTATGACAGTCAAAAAAGTTTTCAATTTCGAAGTCTACAAATGTTTGCATTATTTTAAAAGGAATGTATTCTTATGTGGCAAATTCGAAAGAAATTGGTTGGAAAACTCCTGAGAAATTGAATCTTAAAATAGTTGATTTCTCGGGAACTATTCGATTGACTTCATTCAAATTTTGTATTTTGCCATTTAAAATTACATTCTTTAAAATTGTGCAAAAACTTCTAAACTTTCGACCTCTCTCCGGACCAAAATATTGAACTATATTTCCAAGATGGCGGTTACCTTCAATATTTTTGGTGACGGAAATTATAATCCTTCAAAAAAATAATATATTCATAGAAAGAACGCTTGTATGTCTGATTTCGTAATCTAATAAATCGTCTGCATTAACTAATTAGCATATTTGAAACCACTCCTTTCAACCATTAAGATTGAGTCCTAGTACGTGAGAATCCGATCATTAGATCAAAAATTATTCACTGTTTTTGCTTACTGCACACTGTAGAAACTGTGGTGTAATACCTATCCAAATTTGGTGTCGAAAAAAAACTGTGGGAGTGATTACTGTATTTCAAGTTAATGAGCTTCCTTACATACTTTATTGGGTGTACAAAAATAAGCCTTCTTACACACTTTGAAGTGTGTAGTACCAATAATCTTCTTTACACCAATATTCGGTAAAAAGAACCGCGATGGCTCAGGGGATAGAGCGTTCGCCTTCCAATGAGGCGAGCCGGGTTCAAATCCCAGTCGATGCGAATTCCGCATCCCGCTTGCACCGACCACAGTGTTGACGTGAAATATCCTCAGTGGTGGATGGATTATGGGTTAGAGTCCCCTTTCCATCAGGTTAACCGTGGGAGGTTCTCGTGGTCTTCCTCTCCATGTAACGCGAATGCGGGTTAGCTCCATCGAAAAGTCCTCCACGAAAGCAAATTTTTTTCAATACTCGATCCAGAAGTTCTGCTGGATTGGGTTCAAAATTACAAGGCTACGGAGTTGAGCATTAGTAGTCGTAAACCCATAAAATTGTTCAACGACGGTTATAAAATAAATTCAAATATTCGATAAAAGTTTACGCAAATTTCAGATGTTTTTTAACTCCCCTCATGGGCAACAACTCGCTTGTGAGGTAGGACTTCTTGGAGTTCCGTAAATTTACTGATTAGTTATTAAATTTATTTAAATTTATTAATTTTATTAAATTAAATTTATTATTTTATTAAATTTATTTAAACTATTTGACTGAGTTCTTTTTTAATGGAATTATCTTTGAATATACGAATTTTATAATT